CTCCTGAACTCCTTTCTGTTTACGTTCATTCAGACGCACACTGGAGAAAACACAGCAGACAGACAATATAATAGTTTTTGTTTTTTAGTTTTAGTAGAGGTTTTACGGCACTTGCAACACAATAAGGTCATATAAATGCCGAAGATTAGAGGCGTTACAAGAGAGTAACAAACATAAAAAAGAAGAAGGGGAGATAAGGACGATAGATGTTTGACAGGAAAGAAGAAGCAAACCACACCAGAGCACCCGCCAACCACCCACAGTTTTTGTTTAAGGCAGACTTTGATTACAGAGCTTGACTAGTGGACTAGGTGTATAGAGTACATAAACAACAAAAACCCAGTTACATAAACACTGTTTATAAAGTATATTAGGAAAAAAGGATCAGAGGCCAACCAGCAAAGAAAAAAAACGCCATCAGATATTCAAAACAGTATGGTTCTTTTCGTCTACGCAGACGGTCAATTTAGCTTAAGATGGTCTCAAGGTTGTCTTTAAGCAGCTTCTTTCATGGCTAATTCTTCCTATGTTTGAAGCACAGATTCTGTCGTAGTGCTTGCATGTCAGTGTCGTAGATCGAAGCTCTGTATTTCCGCTGTTTTCCTTTCATCATTGGCGCTTCTCAGCCTGGTTGTATGTAAGGCTGCTCTCTAGCATTTTAGTTTTTTCCTTTATAATTTTCCTCCATGTTTTCCGGTCCCCAGCTATTTCTTCCCAGAAGTTAACATCTACTCCAAGCTTAGATAAGCTGTTTTTGCAGGTGTCTTTGTACCTCAATTTTGGTCTTCCTCTTTGTCTCTTTCCCTGGGCAAGTTCTCATAACAGTATGTGCCACATAAAATAACTGAAACATTTATGGTGCTGGCAAGATCAAAGCTGAAACCGAAAACTCCAGCAGTGCTCACCTGATGAGATGTGGGTTCATGAACTCTGTCCTAACGCAGCCCAGCACCTCATTAGCGCCGTACTCAATGAGTGCCAACTCCCCAGCATTGAAGATCATGCACACCTAGGGGATAGGAGAGAGAGGGGAGGGGGAAAAACAATGCTTCATTTAGCATGGGAAAAGGGAACAGAAATTTTTTTCAAATAAACAATTTTCAGTAGAGAAACAATGTTCCTTATAGTGTGTAAATTAATTGAATAAGCTGCTGTAAAACAGGAAAAAAGAAATGTAGTAAAAGCTTTGAGGTGACTATCGGCTGATGTAGAAGAGCAGCAAGATCCACATCATCAAAATAATACTGTAGAACAAAGTGGTTTCTATACTTGCTTACTCTCACCCTATACCGTTAGGTACATAAGGCAGAGAGCACTCGAAGCCCCGCTTGTCTGTCCATGGCCACATCCTCCAATTTCGGCAAATCCAGACCATTGGGTGATTGCCTCATCTCTTATTGTGCCTCTATAGCTTCCAGTTGGTCCTCCTCATTTTCTTCTTCCAAATGGTTTCCGATACCATGTCTGATAGGGCAATCTTGTCTTCGGCATTCTTTGAATAAGTCCTAGATATCTCCATCTTCTTCGTTCTATGCTTGTGTTGATATTTTCAATTCCAGCTCCTTCCAATAATAAATTCATTCCATTTTATTAGTAAAATGATTTCTATACACTAGAACATATCTATATACAGAAAACAGAATAGCTTATACACTGTGAATATTTATGATGATAAGACAGTATGACTCACATTCTCGTTGTCAAAGTAGTACTTCTCAGTACCGGAGCCCTGCCACGGGACCTCACTCAGCCTGGAGGAGAGCATGTCCCCGAGGAGCAGGGTGTCCGAGGTGTGAGCCACGAGGTAGCGGTCCCGGCCCATGATGCGAACCTCGTCGATCTCGTAGCCGTAGTGGGACTTGAGCATCACCTTGGTGTTGTTGGACAGGTTCTTCACAATGGCCTGACAGAAGGGAGGGAACATCACAAAGTCAACACAGACATCAGAGCCGGTCAGATAAAGAAGGGAAAGTGCAATGCTGAGTTCCCCCCCCAATGATAAGAAAAAACAAGATGGCAGGGAGCAAGGTCAAGATAATCCGGTCAACGACAAGAAAGGGCAAAGCTGAGGTAAGCTTGTCAAAGACAGGAGAGATTAAGGCCAAGGCATCCCTTTGTAAAATGAAAAAAGAACATAGTCAAGTTGAACTACTAGACACAGAAAAGAGGAATCGAGTGACTGAAAATATGAAAACACATAGCCAGACAAAAAAAAGCAACAATAATTTAGTATAGAGAAGTATATCAATAAAATAATGGTCATTTTGAGTTGGGAAAGAATAAAAAAGACAGAGTGAAACCAAAAAGGCAAAGAAAAGAAGTAGGACCTACAAAGGATGCTCTCCAAGCACCTGCATGAAATAATCTTTAAAAAGACCAATCAACCCTTGTTTAAAAAGAGACTCGCCAACATTGAAGAAAGAAAGAAAAAAGCGTGAGAAATCCCTCAGCTAAGTATGAGTATGAGCCCAGACCTGACTGACTCCCACGTGGGTGATCTCAAACTTGTTCTTGTACAGCGTCCTCTTGAGGCAACAGTCAAACATCTCCAGACCTCCGCACAGCGTACCCTGGAGGAGATAGAAGAAAAGATGATATCTACATAGGTCACACACACACACATACACAAAATTCATTGGTCAAAATGTCATGACCTCCTCATAGAGTACCCTGCAGTTGACAGACAGACAGACGGACGGACGGAGAGACATACAGACAGACAAACAGAGTGTGGCTCAACAACAAGTTGACAAGTACCAGCTGAGGCTGACAATACACACCAAAACAAGATCAGTGAAAGTCAAACTAAAGTTTAGCATTTAAAAAAGCTAAGAAAACATAATCAGCTATGTGAAATGGAGTTGGGATACTATGCAAATCTGATGAACACAAATAGAAGAAAAATTTCTTTTCAGACCAAAACAGTTCCCCAGATCCTTGCACCCACAAGAGTTGTTAACTTCAATGTTAGAGATAAACACAGTCTAAGTGTCACATTCCGACGTCTCCTCTTGTACATACCGCAATAACCCGGGAGCCATCTTTTTTCCACGCCAATGCAGTGACCGTGTACAGGTTGTGGATCTCCTTCAGTTTAGGCTCCTCCCACATCTGACGTCGGGGGCTCCAGTTCAAAACCCGCAACCTGCAAACCCAAGAAAAATCTAAATGAATGGGAAGAGGAAGGTCGAACTACTAGGGCTGTAACTGTAGAGATTAATTAGTCTGTTTTGCTCCTTTTTTGGGCAACACATCAGATGCTCATTATACACTTCACGCCTGCTGCTGAGTCAGAGTGCATCTTGCAGACAAGACAAAGGACAGGAAGTCAGAGTAAAAAATGGAATAGAAAGAGAGAATGTAGTGAAAGTGAAAAATGGAACAGTATAAAGGGATATAGAAGACTGAGAGGGCCTCAAACAGAATCTGATTCACACACACACTTCTAAGGTAGCTGCAAGTATCCAAGATTCTTTTATTTCTCTTGCCTCCTTTGTAGAATCCTTAATGCAAAACTCAGATTCAAAATCTATTTCTTCCCTTTACCCATCGAGTTCTTGCCCAATTAGGGACCTAAAGAAAGAGTGAAGACACATTCAGACTGCACACAGAAGAAGACACTTGACTCAACACAAAGGAATGTCACACCGCAGACAGCATCAGACATTTGACCTAACCGTAAGCACAAAAGGCAATGACACATTCAGACAGTGCGCTCCCTTAGAATTATAAGGTTCTATCTGCTCAGTACCTAGTTTTGAGATATTTGATGAAAAAAATTGTGACTTTCATGGCGAGCTTTATCGAATGCAATTCTTGGAATATCTTGATAATGACTCCGAATAATCTAATGATTTTGATAAAGCAGATAGAACATATTATGGTTTCTGACCTGATGACGATAGAACTTTGTAATTCTAAGGTAGCGAGTAGGCACTGCATTAAATTCTCACTTGTCAAAACTGCCGAGCACCACATTCTGTCCACTGGGAGAGCAGACGGCCACTGTGATCTCATGCTCGTCATCCTCCCGACTGTAATCAAAGTGCTGGAAGCTCCTCCCGTCTCGGCCGTACGCGATGATGCGTTTATCACAGCCTGCTGCTACAATGGCGTTCTGAGAGAATGCCAGTGCGTAGGGGGGTGATGGGTGGGTGGAAATCTTTCCCTGGACAGGAGAGAACAGGGGACAAAAAGAAATTAAGGTACTTGCAGATGTAAGCACGAGAACAAATATGTTCATGTTCATGCATATAAAACCAAATATACTCGAAGAGCGTCGGTTTACTGTAACATTATAAAGCATACAAAATCTAACTTTAAAAAATTGTATTGGGTAAAGCTTTTCTTAAACAAATTCTCAGATCATTATAAACGATGGCAAAAACTTTCTCCTGGGTTGGGGGTTGAGGTGGTCTTCCATACCTGTGTGTCGCCCGAGCCCTCGTCGTCGAAGAAATAGCGGATGATTGAGCCATCTGCGTGACCTGACAGGATACCTTTGCCTGAAGGGCTGGAGAAAGGCATGGGGGGAGGGGGGAGTGGAATATGTCAGTTTCTATCTTATTTGATTGAAAACATGGAGTGAAAGAGGAAGCAACATTGATCTTCGTACATAGGCTATCTTTTATCACTCAACTCCGAGTTCAAGAGTGAGTATGTGTGTGAACTGTATACATGAGTGTGTGTGTGTGTATGTGTGTGTGTGTGAGAGAGAGCAAACATGTGTGTATAGCTGGCAAGTTTTCAAAATTAAAAACCCCCCAGATTTTCACCGTGCAGTCGGCGGAAAAGAACACTTCTTACTTCAAAAAGATACTAAAAGACAACTTCTACTCAAAATATCAGCACACCACAGACACAAGCATATTGTGCAGCCAGATTGATAAGATGGCAGGGGCATCCAATGGCAAAGATGTCTGGCTGGGACTCCCTAAGCTTTGTTATAACTCCATTGTTTTGTCCTATCATCACTGGAGCGTTGTCTCAACTCAGAGAGATGCAGTGCTTAAAGGGAACACCTAAGGTTTCTAATTCTGTCAATACAAGTTCTCCTAAGTTAACACCACTTGACGGACCATTGAGGACGTTGCCACACCTTGCAGAAAGCATGTTTGTTTGATAATATCAATGCAGTGATGAAGTTGAATTCCTCTGAATACTTGGCACAGAAGGTTTGTTTGCGACGTTTTGCCTTAGAACTGGTTGGTTTTAAAAACGCAACCATCACTTGAAAGCACAACGCGTCCATGATCAAAGAAATATAGTTTTAGCTCCTGCGTTCATTCATCACAAAGGCCACCCGCAACACACACACGATGACCCGTGACCCGATGAGAATGAATGAGAAACAAAGAAGGCCCGTAGGTTACTTCCCGCATTAATAGTGCATGCTCAATAACATTAATAACAAAGAAATATACAGAAGGGGCACTAACCTACTCGCGAAGGAGGTCGACTTCTAGTCTAATTGAGGGGACACTACTCTACTCGTCTCGTTGACTCCCGTACTTATTTACGTTCGCCTATCCGGTCATAAATTTTCTAATTTTTCTTGCTTGAAGCCAGTTTGTATTGAAACTAAGAGGGAAAAAGTTGAAAACGTATTTTCCGATGCCATAAAGGATTTCCGAACTCAAACCCAAAAATCATACTAAATATGTTTTTTACGTACTGCTAGGCAGCTATGTGTGTATATGAATATGCGAGAGAGAGAGAGGACAGAGAGAGAGTGTGTGTGTGTGTGTGTGAGAGAGAGAGTGAGAGAGAGAGAGAGAGAGAGGCAGAGAGAGAGAGAGAGAGACAGACAGACAGAGAGAGAGATAGAGAGAGAGAGAGATAGAGAGACAGAGAGACAGACAGACAAAGAAAAAGGGAGGGGGCATATTGTTGTG